AACCGCTGTAACCGAAATTCCAAGCCAACAAAGGGTTAGGAGGTTGAAGGAGTTTAACTTAGTCTTACTTGATAAATGGTGTTGGAGGATTCTAAATGAGTCGGGAAGTCTATGTTATAGGGTTCTGAGTGCTCAGTATGGAGAGTAAGGGGGCAATTATGTTTTGCGGATACTGGTGGATCCGTTTGGTGGAGGAATTTGAAAAACATAAGGGAGGGTGTCAATTTGATTGATGGAGGATGGTTTTTTGATAACATTGATCAGAGAATAGGAGATGGATATTATACTTTGTTTTAGATAGATCCTTGGCTGGATGATATGCCTTTGAAGGAGAGATTTAATAGGTTGTTTGATTTAGCGGAGAATAAAGGGGCGACGATAGCATAAATGAACAAATTGGGGTGGGGAGAATGGAGAGACGTGGGAGTGGCATATGAGGTTGTTTGCTTGAGAGAAAGAGTTAGTGGGAGAGTGTATCGAGTGGCTAACCTCAATTGTTTTGCAGGTGGAAGTAGAAGACCGTTGGGTGTGGAATTTACACCCCCTCTTTTTGCTACAAGGTTAGCAATGCTTTTAAATATCTGTACAAAGTTGACGTCACCAGCAATCAGGTTAACTCCCGATTTTTGAGTTTGAAGAATGTTCTGTTTAAAGTAACTATTTTTGTTTGGCAGTTGTTTCTTAATCGTATATCGACAAAGGACAATCTGGTTATGCAGCGAATTCTTGTTACAGATGATCATAAATGTGTGGAAAATTGTGGGGTGATTGAAAATAGAGATCATTTGTTTGTAACATGTGATTTTTTGGTGGGTTGTAAACTATTATTCTTAATTGGTTAGGATTCTCAATGTATCTCAATGAAAGGTTCTAAACCACTGGTTGCAATTTAGTCGTCTTGGTGGGTTCTTGAAAAATAGCATGTTGACTTTTAACACTATTTAATATGTTGTGGTGTGAATTATTTGAAAAAAGCGCAATAGGCGTATGTTCCAAAATAAAATGGATCAGCTGTATGCATTATTTGAAAGGGTAAAACTTCATTCTCATTGGTGGTTAAAGTCGAAATATGTTTCTTTCAATTATGATTATCAATTTTAGAGATTAAATCCTTTATCTTATTTATCATCTGTTGTGTAGACTGTTTTTTTGCTTTTGGTAGTTTTTTGGATTGTATTCTTGGACTCCTTCTTGCATTTTCAGTAGATCTTGTACTTAAGTGGCTTGCTTTGGTTATTAATATATATCATTTTAGCCTCCAAAATTTATTCTACTTAAAACAAAATTTTGTAGTTTCTGGATTTAAACGTGATTTTTACATTGAAATTTATTGTTCAGCTCACTCTTACATTAATGTATCAAAACATAAATCAATTCTTGTAAACTCAGTTTTATTAAAATCAATTCTAGTCACCGTCAACTCAAACACATATTAAGTGTGTGTTTGGATTGACGATAAATAGAATTGATTTTGACATAATTGAATTTGATATAGTTTATTTTAACATAAATGAGTTTAGCACAATTGATTTATATTTACATTTATGTAAAATTTAGTTGAATAATAAATTTTAGTATAAAAGTCACGTTTAAACTCAAAAGATATAAATTTTAGCCTCAAACATAATTAATTTTATAGACAAATTCAATTCTACTTTAACAAAATCAAACACCTCAAAATCGTTTCATAATGAATTTTACATGAATAAAATTATTTTTTACTCTTCCAAAACTCAATCCAAACATACTATAAGTCATATTACTCATTTCAATAAACTAAAGTGTTCACTTTGAAATAGACAAACATTTTACATAGAGGAAAGAAGAGAAATCAATTAATTTCGATCTTTAAATTATAGCAGAAGAAATGAATGTATAGAATGAATTTTGATTATAATATGTAAATAAAAATAATTTATTATTCCATTAAAAGTTTACACTTAAAAAATCTAAATCAATTTATATATTAAAAATAAACTTCGTCTATTAATATCTTTTTAATGCATGTATATTCAATCCATCCATTATGAATAATAATTTATTATAGAATCCTAAAACTATTTAAAACATTTATTTTGAAAATTGTATAAATAATAATGTCTTCTTTAGTACATAAAAGTAATCTATTAAATTTAAAACAAAAAATAAAAATGATATATTAAAATTTTAAAAATATATTAGATGAAAATATATAAATGGAATCTAATTAATTAACTAAATTTTTATACCGAAAAATATATTCGATAAATTATTTAATGAAAGAATTAGATGAATAATAACTCAATAAATCATATTGTAACTCTTGTTTTAAATAAAATTTAATATACTTTTTGATCTTATGTTAAATTCAAAGTATATTTTAGTCTCTTAGTTTAAAAAATGTATATTAGTCTTTTAATTTTCTAAAATATATTATGTTAGTTTTTTTTGTCTGATTATTTAAAAATATAAAAAATTTAATAATCAATTTTTGAATTTATCCGTTCTTGATTTGACAAAAATGAATAATAAAATATATTTTAAATAGTTAAAGAATCAATATAAATATTTTTTAAATTAAGAGATCGAAATAAATTACAAGATTAACATTCAAAATCAAAAAAATATATTAAACCTTTAAATGACAAATAAATAAATAAAATTTGTAAAAAAAAATTCAAAGGAAATATTGCATAACTGTTTTAGAGATTTTAAAATTAAAAATAAAACCTATATTTTGCAATGAATCTCTGTAAAAAAATTGTCAAAAATTATCTGCACTAAAATATATCAATTAAGTACTTGAGTTCTAATGAAAAATGAACTTTCACTTAGAACAAATCATTCCATTATTACATAAATTTGATTTTCTGATGAAAACAAAGCTTAGCCAATAGATCATTTATTTAAATAAAAAGCTCTATAAAATAGATTCAGTGAATTGTTTTTCTAAACTAAAAAACCCTTCAAATTACAAAATAGATTGGAATTGATTGGCTAAATAAAAAAGAATTATTTCAATTTTTAAACAACTTCGTAAATCGAAGCCCCTAAATTTAAGGACCCGTCATAAAAAATTTAAAACTCAAGGACCAAGTTATTCCTTTCTTACAAATTTAAAACCTCAGTTGTTTTAAAAATCATTAACTATTTAATTTTATAAAAAATAGGGACCTCTTTTATAGTAATTACATTAAAAAAGGATATACTAACATATTTTTCTTTCTTTTATACGTACAAAGATAAAGATAGATCAATTTACTCTAATAACTTTGCATAAAATTATTATGTTTAATAATTTATTATAAATCTTAAATTTCACTATCTTACCATTGATTTAAGTTCTTTTATTGAATAGATCAACTCTATAATTTTATTTAATAAAAATTTACTGATTATAGCTATTTTATTTTAATAAGAGTTAATTACAACCATTTAATCGAATAATCAACCATTTTAAATAAATTGTTTTTAGATAATTTTTTTATTAAATAATCAATTAATATTTTTATGTGTAAGTTGCGTTAAATGAATCTAAAGTGATAATCTTTTTTTTTATGCACTAAAGTGATAATCTATGATTCAATTTCTTGAAATTTTTTTATTTATATTTGTATATTGAAGTAAATAAATTATTGATATTTAAAAAAAAAATTCTTTTGTTTCTTTTCAAAAAATATACGAAATCTTGTCTCTATTTTATAAAAATATTAATTTTTTATAGTATTCTTTAAACAAGTAAAAGAACTATTGTACTAGTATCTAATCTATATAAACCATGTAATCTATATAGAACTAATACCATATACATTAAATATTCAATAAATATAAAAAAAAATATATATATATATTTATAATAAAAATACAAATAATAATTTTAGATGTGATCTGACAACATAAAAATGAGAATTTTACAGTAAGCAAAATATGATAATAAAAAAACAACATAGAGAAATATATAAGATTTGAGTCACCAAAATATTCCCCCTCATGGTAATGGACAAAGTAGAAGTAGTGACCAGTGACATAGTACCAACCACTAAGTCATTTTCAATGAGTAGTGTACTTCACCATTTCTCACCAAGCATTACCTTCCCCTAATCACACACTACTTACCATCATTATTTCTTATTTACTACCCTTTCACTCAACCCAAATGATTCCAATTCCACCCTTTTTTATTTTATTATATTTTCCCATCATCATCAATCATCAATCATCACTCATCACCACTTAAAAACATCTGCAGAAGTGGTAATGGGCTGGTTATTATTATACACCATCATATTCATCATGTTTTGTGCACTTGTTTCATAACAATCCCTTGAATCATAGGACCCAGACCCATTATTAGCAGTGTTGATGAGTTCAATGATGTTGTTCAATGATTGAAACCTTTGACTTAGCTCACCTATTTGGGCCCTCAAAATTGAATTATCAGCCTCAACATTCAAATAGTGCTGTGTTGTGATATTTATCTTATTCACAATCTCATTATTCTCTTTTGTAAGATCAGATACCTGATTCATCATATCATCAACATGCTTCTGCTTCCTCATCCGAGATCTCTTCGCTGATTCCCGATTCGATTGTTTCCTCTTGTTTTTTCTCTCATCCATCAAATTGTTCAAATCCTTCTCAGATCCAGAACTCCCGAATTTCGTTGAAGCAGAAGAATTTCCACCCGAACAAGCCATCAATCAAAAGCTACTACACTTACAACAACAATAACAACAAAAAAAATAACTCGAAAAAAAAAACCCTAATTAAGATGTTATCTCAAAAATTAACTAATTAATTAATAGTAGTAAGATTATTACATGATAATATATGAACTGAAACTGCGAATTGAGAAAACGTAGAACCAATAGAGAAAAACAACGGAGAAAGATTGAACTAAGTGAGTTCTGCGCCTGAAAGAGGAATTTATGATGAATCCAGAAAGAAGAACTTCACTGAGAACATGAGACATGAATGTCAAAAAATTAACATAAAGGTATTGAAATTTTCAATCAGAAGCATCAAGATTCCTGCAAATATACAAAAAAAAAATATATATATTAAGCAAAGTTAAAGAAGAGGATTTTGATTTTGATTGAAACAAAACCTAAAACGAGAACTAACCTCAGAGGAAGAAGAGAAGGGGAAGTTTGATAGGTAAAGATGGATTGAATTTATAGAAGGGAGTGATGGTGACAGACAGAGAGAATAGAAAAACAGTGAAAACAATTTTAGGTATAGAAAATGAGGGCAAAAGGGAAAATGCTTCGGAATCTCCTCCGAGGTTTGCGATCTTTTTTTTATTTTTACTTTTTGTGTTTTTTTATTTTTTTGTAATTGTAATTTTTCAATGGGTTTCTATCTATTTTATACTAGTACAATATAAAAATATATATAGGCTTGTGTTTGAAAATGAATTTTGCAATTAAGTATGTCTTATCATCAATAACTTTAAAAAAAAAGTTTCAAAATTTTTGTGTTTATCCTTTTGGATAAAATTTTAGTTTTCTTTTAAAATTGAAGAGAATCCAAATAAATTTAATTATGGTATTACAAGGATTTAAGATCAATTCAAATAAATTTAATTATACTTTTTAGGAGGTAATATAAAGGAAAAAAATGTATTGATATTGTAAAAATTTTACAATGTCAATCGATAAGAAATATATATTTAATTAAATTTATTTTTTATTTTTAAAAAATTTATATAATATAATAAATATAAAAATTTTAATTGAATATAAATATAAAATTGATTTACGTCTGTATACTATCTTTAAACTCTATTGTAAAAGTCAAGATCAATTTAAATAAATTTAATTATACTTTTAAAAAGTAAAATATGTTGACATCTTACGTGACAAATTTATTTTATATATATATAGTTCTGGATTAGGCCTATGAGTGGCCCAATATCAGACATGGTCCAACTTGCCATTGCGTCAAGAACAACTTAAATGATGATTTAATTCATTGGAGTTCAAGTTGAAGACGCATTATTCACGTGTCTCTCACTCGAGGATACGTCATTAACGTGTTCTGCACTCTTCAGAACCGTTACGCCCTTTGTAACGGACATGGTCAACCCACTATCCACGAAGCCCACAGAACACTTGACCCATGATGATGGGCACGTGCTGCTCATCCCACCTACCATGTGACAAAACTTTCCAGCAGTTCGTCGCCAAATTGGCACCAAACAACATTTCACATCGGTCGAGCACCCACAAACAAATAGGCGCGCTTAAGTAGCGAATAAAGTAATCATGTGCGGCCTAAAACGAAGACTAGGCGAGGCCAAATGGAGATGGTTCGAAGATCTACTCAGCATTCTCTGCGTCTACCGAACAACATCACACTCGACCACTGGGGAAACCTCGTTCCGACTAACCTACGGAACTGAAGAAGTAATTCCAGTAGAAATTAGATAGCCCTCTAGACGAAACAAACTTCCCCTCAATGAGGAGCTGAACGACGAGGCGCTAAGAGAAGAACTCAATCTTGTCGAAGAAATTCGATCAGGATCAGCCCTCCATGAAGCCTTCTTAAAACAAAAGATAGTCATACGACATGACTCCAAAGTCATAAGACGAGAATTCAAAGTTGGCAATCTAGTCTTGAGGAGAAATCACAAAGATTCTTAGGAAGGCAAACTCGCCGCGAACTAGGAAGGCCTCTATCGCATCCGAGACAAAACAGAAAATGGGGCCTACTACCTCAAAAACTTGCACGGGGAAGAACTTGCTCGTCCATGAAATTCCGAAAAACTAAAACAATTTTACAATTAGGCTTAGTAATCGGGGTACCCATTCCACGACGACAGGGTACGTCCCGACCATAGGTACGTGCTCAGGTACAAGTACAACGCCTCAAACTCAAACAAAAAGGAAAGTTTCCACTCCTTTCTGACGAGCAGATTCTTGGCCCGACGGGGAAACCTCAACCGAGCTCCGCCGTCATTGTACCAGCTAGGCAGAACGCCCAGTTCACGATGGGAGGTTCACGCCGCGAGGATCAGACCTCGACCGAGATCTTTTCTACCGCTATCCAATTGGAACCCAACTTGGGCCACTCGATGAGTTCCCCACACTATCGAGAAAACACGTCGTCAACACAAGACTTCCTCCCAAAACACTTAGAAAAATCAATAACACTTTAGTCTCGCGGGCTGCTCTAAACGACGAGCACCCCGAACGCCTATCCGAGGAAAATTTAATACTTGGCAGAATCATACATTAAAACAAACAAAATAGAGACAAACACGTCAACAAAATAAAGGGAAATAAAGACAAACGAACACAACGGGAGAGGATGTCATAATATTACAACAAAAGTCGGGCAGAGCCCATTTTCCAAATATTAAAAAAGTTACAGACACGCAGGCCTAAACAAAAACAGTCAAAACAACATACTTAAAATAAACTACTCCTCATGTACGTGTTCCCCATCATTCAAATTCCCCTCAACTTTGGGGCTCTCCATCTTCCTCTTCATCAGGAAGGGATCCAAGAGGAGGTACTACTTGGACATCAACCACCTGGTGAAAGCAACCAATCCCTTCCGTGACAATCTCAACCCCGAGATTCACGACCTGCAACTGAGTGACGATGTTGGTGAAACTCATCTTGGAGACCTCTAGGCAATCCGGTTCAAGACCATGCATTCAAGCAACCAATTCAGCACAGGTCTTCAAAGATTTCACCTCTCCATCCCCATCCTCAGCAGGCGCCGCAACATCCTTCAAATTAGAAATTTCATCCTCAAGACTTTTCTTCTCGAGCAGCCAGGCACCCTTCTCCATAGACAAATTGGTTACCTCTTCCTCATTCTTCTTCAAGTCGGTGATAAGCCCGACCTGGAGCCGATACTTATCTTTATAGTTACCAAAGTCATATTTCAGCTTGTTCACCCTTACCTCGAGGGCCAATTTTGATGTCTATAGTGTTGGAAGCGGTATAGCGGAAAGCAACAAAAGTTTTGGAAATATTTATCCGGGAATTTATCGTGTCCACATAGATTGGTTATTGAATTATCGTTCGACAAATCTCTCGTTAATGAGTTTGGGGATAAATGAGTTTGTAAAGAAAATGTTATCAACAGAAAATAAATGTAAACAAAAGTAAAAACTAAGGAAGAACTTATGAAGCCTGCATATAATCTACTCATTACAGACTTAAATTTATCGACCAGTTACATTCAACCTAATAATACTCATCAATGTCACTACGTATCACTCACAACCTAAGTCATTTCTAACCCAAATTAAGAGACCGATTGTATCACCAAGGAAATGATATTTCTACCTCCTTAACAAAATAGAAGACAACTATGTAATCGCACCGACGATCTCTCAATACAACACAACCACACATAGGCATTAAGCTCTGATACCCAAGTAGATGTCAGCTCTAAATCTATCTCTAGAGTTCAGAAACTAACAGATAATCATCCTAGATAAGAATCTAAGCAGTATATGTCTATAACAATTTAAATCCCAAAAATCTAAGATAATAATCGACAAAGATTTGTAAAGCAAGTTTAAGATAACGCCATGGGTGACAAATATACATGAGTTCAAAGTAAATACATATACAAACTCAACACATAAAGAATACACAAAGAGGAAGAGAAATGAACCACAAATCTATCGGTTTGTCAGTGCCGATTGATGAGCAATCCACCCTGGATCATCTGTATGCAAGCTTCAATGTTGTTTTCTAAGCTAATCCTATCAAAAAATGAAGGGTGATGGAGTTGGGATAAAAAATACCCAAAACCATGCCCAAAAAATGTGTTTTTACACCTAAATACGCATTTATGACTGTTCAGCATCGCCCGGCGACCAAAACAACATTTTTCCCACGCTACAACATGCCTAGGTCTCCCGACGACCAAAAGCGTCTCCCGACGATGGATGACAGAAAGTTGAAAAACCAGCACAATATTCTGCACTTTTTCGCCCATAACTTTTTAATCGTAACTCTGATTCGCGCCTGGTCGAAAGTGATGGAAAGGTTATTCAATGCTCTATCTAACAATGCCTAAATATCAATGCTTGAATACCTACAAAAATTAGATAAAATAAATTAAACTCAATGATATTTACATAATAATGCAATAAATACATTGTAACATAAACTATACCGAATATACACTAAAATTGAGGTTTATTGATAAAAAGAAAACGAATTAAGCCGATGAGTGCTAATTACTCACACTCAAATTCACAACAAATTAGCACTCATGATATAGTTTCTCCAGCACTACAGAAGAGCAAGTCTCCTCACTAGTGAGGACCACAAGCATCTCTAAAACCCTCATCACGACAACAGTATCTTCGGCCAGTTTTCTTCTCTTGCCCGCTGAATCGAGCCATGGATGGTCAGAGACTCTGCCCGAGGCACATCCAGAGGAAACCCTTCAAATAAGATCTTCTTGAGGAAGTAAGGAGGCAACGTGAATTTGGCTTCAGGAGCATCCTCCGTAAGATCTAGAACATTGTCATCCTCTGTGTGACCCATCTTTCTACCCGAGTTTTCCTGCACGGAAGGAGGTTGATCTACGACCGAAGATGAAGAAGAAGTGTTAGAATCGTCATTGGGATGGCTCAGGGCTGGGACGAAGCCACCCTTGGTTATTTTCTTTTGAACCTTCGGGGCCTTCCCTCTGCTCTGCACCATCTTGAGCATGCGATCTTGGAGACTTGACATCTTATGTGCAGCAAATAACATACACAAGTTAGTACGTCGAGGAGAAAAGCATATGAGAACGTTAAAAGAAAATAAAGCACGGATACCTAAAAGCACTATGGCTTCCTCGAAATATTTACACTCGAGAAGATCCTTAATATTGATGTGTCGAGCTTCGTATACAGACTGACCCTCATCGTCGAGGAACTCCTCCCAATTTCTCGTCTCCCAATTGGCATAAGCGAAGTTGTCAACAAACTTAGCAAGTTTACCATAGGACTCTTCATCATCATAGTCTAAATCACCAGGCCTTGTGAGGTAATAACTCGTCCCCTTCTAGAAATGGCTCTCACATCAATGGAGATGAAACTTCAAAACCAATTTTGTCTCCACATTCCCATCATCATCATAACGCATATTCACATCCTCGTTGTTGTACCCTAAAATTTTCCCTCTCATTTTATCAACATTTCTCATCATAAAGCTCTTGGAACTCAAGATCAAGCTAGGGTTTGCTCTGCTCAAGACATCTCCTTGCACTGATGACCTAAATTAGGGTTTGAGTTTGCACAGGGATTTTTGGACCTTCAATGTCCAAATTGACTTTCATACTTCATGTTGGACTCATAAGTTTATCCATACCAAGTTTCAAGCCTTGAATCAAATTTTTGCCCAGTCAATTGGACAGTTGACCTAGAAATCAGTTGTATTGGGGAAAAAGTCAACTGTGACCAATTTACAGTCAAACCTCATGAATTTTGACCCACATCAACATTATTAACTCATATGAACCATTTGATCAAGTTTGGACCACAATCCCACAAGAAATTTGATCAGATCACCAAAAGGGCAAAATGGTCATTTTTAGGGTTTTGACTGTACAAAGGCAATTTCTGACTGTTTGACCTAGCCAATGGCAAATCAAGTTCAACCATGGACTCAAGGACTCAATGACATTATCTTGACCTATTCAAGAAGTTCAAAAGATCTCAAATGCATTGGATTGACAGATGAATTTTTCAGTTAACTGATCAAAATTTGATTGTACACAGAAAAGTCAAACTTTGACTTTTTGGTCAAAATCAAGTGCCAAGGGTCATTTTTCATCAATATATGTCAAATTATGAAACTTGTTCATCAAGAAACCCAAAATTGCAAATTAGGGTTTGAAATTGAAAATTTTCATAACTTACAAATTTTCTAAGTTATGAAATTTTCTTAATTTTTCCTAACTTTGCCCCACATTTTCACCATGATGCAAATGGATTCAAACAAAACTTAAAACATTAAAGTTGTAGTCCTCCACAAAGTCTACAACTTTAATACACAAAGTTTTCTCAAAAGAATCTTGGATCTCAAGTTATGATTTTTGGAACAAGGGTCCCTAAAACTTTTAACTTGGAGAAATTTTGCCCTAGTTTAGGCAGGATTTTGACCCATCTTCTTGGCCATTTTTCACATAGTTACA